TGGAAGCACTGAATTGTCTAGAATGTCATTGTATGCTTCAGCGTTAAAGATTTCCCTTCACTGGAACTAAGGGGGCTAGCCCGAACCATGAAAAATAGCCCCAGGCCATTATTCCTCCTCCACCAAACTTTACAGTTGGCACTATGCATTCAGGCAGGTAGCGTTCTCCTGGCATCCGCCAAACCCAGATTTGTCCGTCAGACTGCCAGATGGTGAAGCGTGATTCATGGTGCTCTTAGCCTTGTGTGCGGCTGCTCGGCCATGGAAACGAGACCGCCTATAGGGAGGAGGTGAGGGCTCTGGGAGTGTGGTGCCAGGAAAATAACCTCTCACTCAACAGCAAACAAAACAAAAGAGATGATCGTGGAATTCAGGAAACAGCAGAGGGTGCACCCCCCTATCCACATCGACGGGACCGCAGTGGAAAAGGTGGAAAGCTTCAAGTTCCTCGGTGTACACATCACTGACAAACTGAAATGGTCCACCCACGCAGACAGTGTGGTGAAGAAGGCGCAACAGAGCCTCTTCAACATAAGGAGGCTGAAGAAATTTGGCTTGGCACCTAAAACCCTCACAAACCTTTACAGATGTACAATTGAGAGCATCCTGTCGGGCTGTATTACCGCCTGGTATGGCAACTGCACCGCCCGCAAACGCATTACCGGTGGCAAACTACCCACCCTCCAGGACACCTACAGCACCCGATGTCACAGGAAGGCCAAAAAGATCATCAAGGACATCAACCACCCGAGCCACTGCCTGTTCACCCCGCTATCATCCAGAAGGCGAAGTCAGTACAGGTGTATCAAAGCTGGGACCGAGAGAATGAAAAACAGCTTCTAACTCAAGGCCATCAGACTGTTAAATAGCCATCACTAGCACATTAGAGGCTGCTGCTGCCTATTGAAATCCCTGGCCACTTTAAGAAATGGAACACTAGTCACTTTAATCATGTTTACATATCTTGCACTACTCATCTCATATGTGTGTACTGTATTCTATAATATTCTACTGTATCTTAGGCCATGCCGCTCTGTCATTGCTTGTCCATAGAATATGTATATTCTTCTATTCCAATGTTTGTCTATGGAGATTGCATGGCTGTGTGCTCGATTTTATACACCTGTCAGCAACGGGTGTGGCTGAAATAGCGGAATCCACTAATTTGAAGGGGTGTTCACATACTTTTGTATATACAGTGTATGTTTAGTCTTGGAGGTTGGGGGGGCTTATCAGGTGGGTAGAATACACTCACCGGACAGTTTATTTGATACACCCCATTCACGAAAATGGTTAGCTCCTACAGACAGTCAGTCACGTGGCCGTGGCTTGCTATATAAAGCAGGCAGACAGGCATCGAGGCATTCAGTTACTGTTCGATTGAACATTAGAATGGGCAAAACGAGTGACCTAAGCGACTTTAAGCGTGTTATGTTCGTCGGTGCCAGGCGCTGGGTGGTGTATCCAGTATCTCAGAAACGGTTGCCCTCCTGGGCTTTTCACGCACAATTGTGTCTAGGGTTTACAGAGAATGTTGTGACAAACAAAAAACATCCAGTCAGTGACAGTCCTGTGGGCAAACATAGCTTGTTGATCAGAGAGGTCAAATGAGAATGGCAAGAATCATGCAAGCTAACAGGCAGGCCACAAACAGACAAATAACAGCGCAGTACAACAGTGGTGTGCAGAACGGCATCTCGGAATGCACAACTCGTCGATCCTTGTTACGGATGGGATATTGCAGCAGACGACCACATCGGGTTCCCCTCCTATCAGCTAAAAACAAGAACAAGCAGCTCCAGTGGGCGCGCGATCACCAACGCTGGACAATTGAGGAGTGGAAACACATCGCCTTGAACATGACCGTGAATTCAGTTTACTTGAGTGGCCTGCGCAGTCCCCAGACCTTAACCCAATAGAGCATCTTTGGGATGAGATGGAACGGGCTGTTCGCAGCATAAATGTACCACCGTCCAATCTGCAGTAACTGCGTGATGCCATCGCGTAGGCATGGACCAACATCCCTGTGGAACATTTCCGAAATCTTGTAGAATGCCCCGAAGATTTCAGGTTGTTCAGGAGGCAAAGGGGGTTCCGACCCAGTACTAGATGTGTGTACCTAATAAACTGTCCGATGAGTGTATTAGCTACAGCTTTCTTTCTAATTTGGCTTCATATAACAACGATAGGTACATAAGTCAGCAGTGACAATATCTTCAATTATGTGGCACGGCTGGAGAATGGCATGTGATGGATTGACCAAACTGCTCTGGGGAGGACAGAGGAGGGCAGACAACAACCTGCGCTCCCCATCTGTCACCAATCACAAGCCCAGTCGGGATAGGGCACCCACCCTCACTTTCAAGTAATCCTAAAAAAACAAAGAAATTGAGAATCTATCACTGCTGTGGCTGCGAGCGAGATCATTTTTATAGTGAGGAAACCAAGTAAGTTTGTAACCAAGTAAGTCGACTGGTCCATCCATCAGGTGGGCCGAGTCAAATTGAAATCTGACATTTAGAGCCTCAACATCTTTGCCCAGGCTCTCTGAAATTAAATACAGTGAGTGACAAATTGTTTGTATCAGGCCTGTCCCTCTCGGTGAGGCCTCTGATGATGTTTAGGGCTGAAATACACACCCTTGACATTTGCACAAAGGTCGGGTTTTGTGTTCCTTTTATGACGCTTGCTTTCTAGACCCATGGCAGCACAGCGACAGGGATTATTATGATAATCTGGGGTTATGCATTCTCATTAATTCTACCCTGTTTGTTTACAGTCTAGGCTGGGTGTTCACTAGCCCAATAATGGACTAAAGGAGCCTAACGTCACTCCTTATAGTCCAAGGACCTTACATGTTCTGTTTAAAGGCAAATTACACAGTTGCAGCAGACAGTATTTTCAAGTGACAACACGTTTGTGGCATCCGTCTCCCATTTACACACAGGTGTTGGAAGATGCAGATAGCTAATTAGCACAGGTAGTCCACTCTGTCTTCCGTCTGTTTTCAGTAAACAAGCGCTGTAACATCGAAATATGGCCATGTGGGAACACTAACCCTATAAACGTGTATCAATTTAACCTTTTGCTTTTTGAAAATGATTTCTCGCTGATATGAAAGATAAGGTCAAAACCGTACTGCAAGAGATGCGTGTTAATGTTCAGACCGAGCGTCGGGGCTCTTAACAAAACTCCACCATACAGAAGACGCCTTTGTCCAATGACTCTTAAATGTAATGTAATGGAACTGAGAGTCATGATCAAGGGCTAGGTGTTCACCAGTACAGAAGTTGTCTATTTGGTGTGGCCTTGTCCTGGTCAAACAAATTATAGTAAAATGTTTAATTGGTGCATGTGTCTGTGCATGTGGTTGTGATAATGTTTTATGTGGACCTCAATTAGGCCAACACAGGGAAAGCCTCCATTTCAGATTTGGAGAGCCTTGAAATATAGGTCAAATAACTATTTTTGCCACCTATTTCATACCTGATACACTTGCTTTTTCTGTTGATTCCAATGCTGCTGAATAGTCAGGTCATTGACAACGCATGGGCACGCATGGCTGCTTCTCTGACGCTGCCAACAGTGTGTGAACATGTATAATCTCGTTACAATGCGCATGAGAGGTGGGTAAAACATTGGCCGTGTTGGAGACGGTTCGAGAGGATTAAAACCACAATGTATCATGGGTAAATTGTGACTGACTGACTGATCTACAAATAATAATGAGTAGTTATTTATGATGCAAGGTTCTTTGTAGCTCAGTCAGTCAGCAATCGCCTGCACTGTCGGCTGCAATGTCGAACAAGCCCATCAGGGCCGGCTACAGGCCGGGGGGGGGGGGGGGGGGGGGGGGGGGGGACTCAGTCGGGGTTCAACTGTTGACTGTTGAGAGTTAACATAGTAGAATACACAAGGTGCAAGTTCAAAATTTGGTTGTGCATCAACAATTCTTCTCTTGTTACGTCAGTCACTGGCAGTCACTCAATTAGCCATGTCAGCTAACAATTTTCAGATTGGTAAATTAGTCTAGCCAACTATCTAAACTTGTAGTAATCATGGCAGAATACCTACCGGGCACGCAGGGCATTTGTAGAATTGCAGGAAATTAGCTGTAAAACGGCAATAACAACTGAAAATATCTGCCCCATGACAATTGACAAAATGAGTAGAATTGCATGAAATGTGTTTAAAACTGCAACATTTTCTCTTCAACCCATGGCAAAATGTGTAGAATTGTAGGAAATTAATTGCAGGAAAATTGACCTCTGTTCTCTAGGCCCTCCCACCACTACGGGAGGGCAGCTCCCGCTCAGCCCGGTCCAAGCTCTTCTCTGTCCTGGCACCCCAATGGTGGAACCAGCTTCCCCCTGAAGCTAGGACAGTAGAGTCCAGGCCCATCTTTCGAAAACATCTGAAACCTTACCTCTTCAAAGAGTATTTTAAATAATCCCACAGCAGCCCCACTGCTCGCACCCCCTCCTCACCCCTTGCATCCCTCAATAATAAAATAAATAAATATCGCACTTGACATTTTTCCCCCTTACTAGCTCTGACTTTGCTGATAGCTACTTAATTGAGGAAAAATGTACTTACTATTACTGTGTTATGTGGTTGTCTCACCTAGCTATCTTAAAATGAATGCACTAACTGTAAATTGCTCTGGATAAGAGCTTCTGCTAAATTACTAAGATGTAAATGTAAATGTGAAACATAAATGTTTCTCTTGCCATCAAGAGGGGGGCCACTAAAATGAGTTGCCTGCTTAGGGTCCCAAAAAAGCTAGAGCCAGCCCTGTAGCCCATGCTTTTTCAAACCTGTTAAACAGGAACAAATCACAATTTACAGGCAAACATTTGGAATTACAATCCATGTCATCAAGCAAACACATGACACAAGTGCGCTTCCTTGTATATATATCCAACCACGGGTGCAACGTGATTGGCTAGTTTCCAGCACATCATGATATTAGTGGTCCATGTTGCAGTCAATCTTCCGCGAGGGCGGACCCAGTTTGTATAACTATCAGGAAATAGACGCGCATTCAATTCACATATTGTTGATGAAGATTACTCGTTGATCAAATGAAACTAGTAACTAGAATGGGTGCTGTAGTTCTGGTGCTATTTACAATCGGTGCTTTTATCAGTCCAGTTCGATCTCTGGATAATGGTCTCGCGCTCAAGCCTACAATGGGTTGGCTGCATTGGGAGAGATTCATGTGCAATGTCGACTGTGACACGGACCCCAATAATTGCATCAGGTATGATATCTAGCTTCACCCTCAACTCTACACGTAAATTAAAAAAACTCAACACGTAAATTAAAATGTTCCAGACTCAATCAAACATTGAAGGCAAAGGAAATAAAATGGACAACTCTAAACTAGCTTAGACCATTTTGATTTCAGCTCAATTCAAACTCATAGCAGGAAATAGAGTAACTGTAGGCAGTAATGTGAGTGGGGTGATTCTACATTCATCAGGTATAAATGGCCTCTCATGTTCACTATTACTTCATTGGCACATTGAAGCATAGTTAATATGACAATATGAACTGGCTAATAGTTTCCTCTGTCTGTCCCTGACCTCTGTGCTGCTAGTGAGAATCTCTACATGCAGATGGCAGATGTGATGGTGACTGAAGGCTGGAAGGAGGCTGGCTACGAGTATGTCTGCATCGACGACTGTTGGCCCAGCCACCAACGTGATGCCAAGGGACGCCTTCAGGCAGACCCGAAGCGGTTCCCCAGAGGCATCAAGAAACTGGCCGACTATGTGAGTGTATAGCCTACAGCGAGGACGTGCTCATTAGGGCACACATGTAGAAAAACGTTTTGCAATGGAAAACTAAAACAATAATTTCTTATTGGGCCATTTTCTTTGGTTTCATGTCTGAAGATGAACCAGTTGTTGAGGGACAACTTATATTATCCACATACAGTTGGTGATGCACTGCTTATGTCAGATCTAACTCCAATGTAGCCAAGTTCCCAGTGCTTTTCTATCACACACTCTGTGTCACTTTAACACAACAAACAGAAACATGTTCTTCCTCCAGTGATAACCTACCCAATGAGACTGTAAGGTTATGTAGTTTACTAATTAGATCATCCACCTTGCTAAGAGTGCCACATAACTATGGGCAAACAGAAAGGGAATATTGCTGTTACCATGGTGCTAAACTACCAAAGGTTTCAAAACCCTCTGATGAAGCTCCATGAAAATGTTTTTTTGGTAAAACAACACCACCATCTACTGGTTTCAACTGTATGGGTCCACTTTGTTCAGGGATGTTGGCCTACATGACAAACCTGTTCTAAAAGCCTATATATTATAAGATTGTTATTTGTTATTGTTTATACAGGTCCATTCCAAGGGTCTCAAGTTGGGGATCTATGCTGATTTGGGAACCTTAACATGTGGAGGCTTTCCAGGGAGCCTGGGATACTACGACATCGACGCTCAGACCTTTGCTGATTGGGGTGTGGATCTGCTCAAATTTGATGGGTGCTACATGAAGTGGACTTTACTGGGAGAAGGTGATTTACATATTAATTGTCTTGCTACAAAACTACTAATTCAACAGCTCATAAAATTATTTCAGATTAAATTACGTGTAATTAATTAAATTAGAATGATTAATTGGTAACACCTGAAACCCTATAATTACTGTTGTGTGTGATGTTTTTCCCAGGTTACACAAACATGTCAATAGCACTGAACCAAACTGGGAGAAGTATCCTGTACTCCTGTGAGTGGCCACTGTATGAGTGGTCGTACCATCAGGTAAGAAAGAGCGAGGTGGTAAATGCCTTTATTCATAGCATTCCTTCATTTTGTTAGCTAATAAAATTGCTAAATATACCAGGCGCTGAATTGATTTCATATTAGTCAGGAGGACCCATTCATTATTCATTTTACATTGATTAATGTGTCCCACCATGTCAATTATGTACTCACAGCCAGACTATGCTGCCATAAGGAAGGCCTGTAACCACTGGCGCAACTATGCAGATGTGTATGACTCCTGGGACAGTGTGAAGACCATCTTGGACTGGACTGCCGACCATCAGGACGTCATTGTCCCAGCGGCTGGGCCTGGGGGCTGGAATGACCCTGACATGGTACTGTGGCTATTCCACTTTTCACTATGGGCTATGGATAAAGGGTTGGGGTCAATTCATTCCATTGTTTTCTATGGGGAATGTTCAAGTGAACTTCCTGAGTTGACCAATCCAATCCTGCTGCTCAGTTGATGGCATTCAGAGAAACTGTAAAACTCCTCATCTTACTCACACCAGCTGTTCCTGCCATAACCCATGTACTTTGTCTGAATAGTATCTCTGACTGACATTGACGGTGTTCCTTCCTCAGCTGGTGATTGGAAACTTTGGCCTGAGTCACGCCCAACAGGAGTCTCAGATGGCATTGTGGGCCATCATGGCCGCCCCCCTGCTGATGTCCAACGACCTGAGGGACATCTGCCCCCGGTCCAAGCAGCTGCTGCAGAACACAAGGATCATCGCCATCAGTCAGGACCCACTGGGCAGGCAGGGCTATCGCACCGCCAAGGTATTACACCTCTGTTCTGTCACTCACTGGGGATATTTAATGGTAATGCACAATGGAGAATAGTAAAACCGCAACACATAAAACAAAATATTAAATAAAATAAATATGCCATTTAGCAGACGCTTTTATCCAAAGCGACTTACAGTCATGCGTGCATACATTTTTGTGTATGGGTGGTCCCGGGGATCGAAGCCACTACCTTGGCGTTACAAGCGCCGTGCTCTACCAGCTGAGCTTATAAATGTGACTACTCGGTGCTAATGCAGTTCAATACAACTACACTGAACAAAAATATAAACGCAACATGTATAGTGTTGGTTTCATGAGCTGAAATAAAAGATCCCAGAAATTGTCCATATGCACAAAAAGCAAATTTCTCTAAAATGTTGTGCACAAATATGTTTATATCCCTGTTAGTGAGCATTTCTCCTTTGCCAATATCATCCATCCACCTGAAAGGTGTGGCATATCAATAAGCTGATTAAACAGCATGATCATTACACAGGTGCACCTTGTGCAGGGGACAATAAAAGACCACTCTAAAATGTTTTGTCACACAACACAATGCCATAGATGTCTCAAGTTTTGAGGGAGCGTGCAATTGGCATGCTGACTGCAGGAATGTCCCCCAGAGCTGTTGCCAGAGAATTTTATATTCATTTCTCTACCATAAGCTGCCTCCAACGTCGTTTTAGAGAATTTGGCAGTAAATCCAACCGGCCTCACGACTGCAGATCAAATCAAATCGAATGTTATTTGCCACATGCGCCGAATACAACAAGTGTAGACATTACAGTGAAATGCTTACTTACAAGCCCTTAACCAACAATGCAGTTTAAGAAAAAAATAAAAATAGCAAATAATTAAAGAGCAGCAGTAAAGTAAAATAACAGTAGGGAGGCTATATACAGGGGGTATCGGTACAGAGTCAATGTGCGGGGGCACCGGTTAGTCGAGGTAATTGAGGTAATATGTACATGTGGGTAGAGTTAAAGTGACTATGCATAGATAATAATCAGAGTAGCAGCAGCGTAAAAGAGGGGGAGGGGGAATGCAAATATTCCGGGGAGCCATGATTAGCTGTTCAGGAATATTATGGCTTGGGGGTAGAAGCTGTTAAGAAGCCTTGGCGCTCCGGTACGCTTTCCGTGCAGTAGCAGGGAGAACAGTCTATGACTAGGGTGGCTGGAGTCTTTGATAATTTTTAGGGCCTTCCTCTGACACCGCCTGGTACAGAGGTCCTGGATGGCAGGAAGCTTGGCCCCAGTGATATACTGGGCTGTACGCACTACCCTCTGTAGTGCCTTGCGGTCGGAGGCCGAGCAGTTGCCATACCAGGTGGTGATGCAACCAGTCAGGATGCTCTCGATGGTGCAGCTGTAGACCTTTTTGAGGATCTGAGGACCCATGCCAAATCTTTTCAGTCTCCTGAGGGGGAATAGGCTTTGTCGTACCCTCTTCACAACTGTCTTGGTGTGTTTGGACCATGATCGTTTGTTGGTTATGTGGACACCAAGGAACTTGAAGCTCTCAACCTGTTCCACTACAGCCCCGTCGATGAGAATGGGGGTGTGCTCAGTCCTCTTTTTTTCCCTGTAGTCCACAATCATCTCTTTTGTCTTGATCACGTTGAGGGAGAGGTTGTGGTTGACCATGTGTAACCACGCCAGCCCAGGACCTCCACATCTGGCTTCTTCGCCTGCGGGATCGTCTGAGACCAGCCACTCGGACAGCTGATGAAACTGGGTTTTCACAACCGAAGAATTTCTGCACAAACTGTCAGAAACAGTCTCAGGGAAGCTCATCTGCGTGCTTGTTTTCTTCACCAGGGTCTTGACCTGACTGCAGTTCGGCATCGTAACCGACTTCAGTGGGCAAATGCTCACCTTCGATGGCCACTGGCACGCTGGAGAAGTGTGCTCTTCACGGTTTCAACTGTACCGGGCAGATGGCAGACCGCGTGTATGGCGTTTGCTGATGTCAACGTTGTGAACAGAGTGCCCCATGATGGCGGTGGGGTTATGGTATGGGCAGGCATAAGCTACCGACAACGAACACAATTGCATTTTATCGATTGCAATTTAAATGCACAGAGATACCGTGACGAGATCCTGAGACCCATTGTCGTGCCATTCATCCGCCGCCATCACCTCATGTTTCAGCATGATAATGTACAGCCCCATGTCGCAAGGACCTGTACATAATTCCTAGAAGCTGAAAATGTCCCAGATCTTCCATGGCCTGCATACTCACCAGACATCTCACCCATTGAGCATGTTTGGGATGCTCTGGATTGACGTGTACGACAGCGTGTTCCAGTTCCCGTCAACTCTATTTGAAGGAGATGTGTCGAGCTGCATGAGGCAAATGGTAGTCACACCAGATACTGACTGGTTTTCTGATCCACGCCCCTACATTTATTTAAAGGTATCTGTGACCAACAGATGCATATCTGTATTCCCAGTCATGTGAAATCCATAATTTAGGGCCTAATGTATTTATTTCAATTTACTGATTTCCTTTATATGAACTGTAACACAGTAAAATCTGTGAAATTGTTGCTTTTTATATTTTTGTTCAGTGTAATAATGGTCAAATACCCATATGCAGCTACACTATATCACAGGGCCTAATCAAACTCAGAAAGCATGAAACTCCCAAGAAGCATGAAACTCCCAAGAAATTACATCAAACATCATGCATTCACTAAAGTGCCAACTCCAAAACCACATGGGATTCATCTGTAGCCACATAAAATATGTCCTTTCCCCCTCAATGATCAACACCACCGATGCTGCCAAAAGCTAAACACCTATAGACGAGTTGGTTGTTTAACAACACAACCGTCGCGTGCGCAACTATGGGGCAATACAGACGGGGTTGGCTTCGACTGTTGACATAAACTATATTTAGTCTGTGTTCATTGAAAACATAAATACATCTGTACAATTAGCACTTGGCTCTCAAATACATCGTTAGTTGTTTAGCTAACTAGCGAGTTTTTGCCATATTAGCATAGACATGACATCGATTCGCAAAGTGGCCAGCCAACCCGTCTTGAGACCATTCTGAGTTATCTCTTTGTATATACCCCCACCTACTGGCCATATGCAAGACTTATCATTTGTAAGCAGGTTGTAAAGTAAAATGTACAAATGCAAGTTTGCAATGTCGTGGCTCTGTAGCTTATGTTGTGGTAGTGTGTACGCTAGACAGTTCACCCTATTATATAATCTGAAATCAGTCTGTGGAAACTAACCTGACTGTTGATTGACAGGTGGACAGTTTCGAGGTGTGGGAGAGACCCCTGTCTGGTGGCCGGTTGGCTCTAGCGGTGATGAACAAGCAGGAGATGGGCGGTCCCCGAGGCTTCCCCCTCACCCTGGCCACGCTGCCGAGCTGGAAGATCTGCCACCCCCAGTGTAATGTCACCCAGGTCCTGCCCAGCTACAATGAGCTGGGGGTCCAGACCCTCCTCAGTAAACTGGTGGTGGTGGTCAACCCTTCTGGCACAGCACTTCTGACTGTCACTCCCATTTAAGGGTGACTTCAAGACCCAATGGCAAATATGGAAGGACATACCCAACGTGAACACACAAACAGTTATTTAGTATGGTATAGCTAGCAGACAAGGATATGGGCCCTGGCCCTCGCCCAGCACTGATTTGAAATGCACAGGATGTATGAGCACTTTAAATTCACAACAAGTTACATTGCTTATTGTGATTATTCTAGATGGTGATTATTCTAGATGGTGTGCTTATTTGCCAAAGCGCCATGTACATGCTCACCCTTTGAATAGGTTATTTAGTTGGTGTGCTGCCCTTGAATGATTTAAACAGAGGGTTTCTTCATCTTTATTTTAAGTATGGAATGCGTTAGTAATTGTCCATGTTTTGTATGCCAATTGTTCTGGTCACAAAAATATTTGCTGGATGGCAGACACCTGAATGTTAAGATATCAAATTTATCAGCAGTACTGTAACAATTTTTCCTGATTGAAAGAAAAATGGTACTTTGGTACAATCATGTCTTCATATGTTAACATTAATTAAAGGGGCAATCTGGAATTCAAACAAAACCAAAGGATACCCTGCCACCTTTTTGGTAAACTTAGGGATGGGCCTGGAGAAACATTACCACTCAAATTTACGGTAACACTTTACTTGACACCAAGCATCATAACACATTATGACATGGACATAACTGTGTAATAATGTCATAACAGCTGACATAATTTGTTATAATATAGTCAACACTCATGACCCATGTATTTACACCTGTTGTGACAATAATTGCGTTATTTTATGGCTGGTTATGACACCTACACATTTACTCAAATGTTTTTTCCCTGCCAAGAACTTTCCTTTAGTTTGAAAGTTTGTTTTCGTAAGTCCTTTGTCGTTGTAATGAATTCTTTAGTAATGATTTTTTTCATCATTATTTTAAATAACTTGTAGAAAATACATTTTATGACACTGTCAATAAGCATTATGACCATCATACATGCCCTTATGTCAGTCATCAGTCAAAAAGAGGGTGTCTTGCCCTGCTCCTGCATTCATTCCTGTCATCAGAAACTGAGCATTGGGGTAGATGCATGTCTGACATCAACGAGTGCGCAATTACAATGATAATTTAATACGGTCTATTTCAGAAAATGTTACATAACAAACGTACTGTTAACAAGTAGGCTATGGTGTAATGGAATGTTTTGTGTTTTTTGACACTTCTGTAGGTGTCATAACCAGCCATAAAATAACTTCCGTGGTAGGTTGACACCTATGTAGGCGTCATAACAGCCATAAAAGAATGCAATATGTCACAACAGGTCTAAATATGTGTCATGACAAGTTGTCAGCTGTTACGACCGTGTCATAAACTTATGACTCTGGGTGTCAATTGTTACCAAATTTACACAGGCTATGGAGGCAAGGACTGACCATATCGAAATGATTGTTTTAAAGCGATACAATGCTACCTAGACTATCTTTGCGCTACCCTCATTAGCATTGGCTGGCAAAACTACTGCCAACTTCCTTCATACTACACAGGCAGAAATTGTATCTGTGAGTTCATCTGACTCTGGGTAAGTAGAACAAGGTCTTTAATGCCAGAATCTCGCAGTATCCCTTTAACAACCTTATATTGTGGGTTCTAATCAAATATATATATATTATATACACACACACACACACACTAGATGACCGGGGGCGCTGTGTTGATTCAGGCATGGTTATTCGCCAGTGTGTTTATACTGTGATGTACTGCAACATGCTTTAACCACTCTTGGAAAGGTTATTAAGTTGTAAATTCTGGAATGGCCAATTACATCTTCATATCCACCAACTTTAATTGCCATCACTCTTGTAATTACCACCATTAAACCGCTAAGCTACAGTTAAGGAGAGATGAGACATCGGGTACAATTTCAATACATTTATTGGGAAAAAATGACAAGTCCATCCAATAGATCGACCCACAGCCTAGAACTGGATGACCTGGCCCTGAAAGGAAAAAAACAAGGTTACAAGGCAGCTCAGATATTCAAACAGCACATTGAAACTATTCACCTTTCCACAATGAAAAATACAAACACCACTTCTGAATCCAATCACATCTTTCAATTTGACAACTTAATTAATACAACTTGTTAGAGCATATCTAAAATCCAAACAGTTCAAGAGCAGCATACGTTCGGCCAGTGAGGGCCTTCAGACTGCTATTGTCAATTCCTCTCCAGGTAGTCTAATAACCGAGTTCAGAGGAAGCATGCATTTTTGGAATTGACTAAATGTTCTATTGAGCAACGATCTAAAGTGGAAGAGATCCGAGGTGTATCAAGGATAGTTGAACATTGTCAAATGTCACCAACGATAACACTAAACGTAATTTAGACATCCAGAAACCATACACCCATCAAATGCAACTCTGGACCTCAAAGCCAGTTCCACTGCTTATTTTACATTGTTCCCCTCTAACCAAGAATGGATTTAGACCTGGGATACCGGGTGGGTGCGTTTAATGATCAGGCAGAACAGAAAAAACAGCAGGCTCCGGACCTCGTAGGGTAAGAGTTGAATACCCCTGGTACAGTGCATTCGGAAAGTATTCAGACCCCTTGACTTTTCCCACAGCCTTATTCTAAAATGGATTAAATTGCCCCCCCCCCCATCAATCTACACACAATACCCCATAACGACAAAGCAAAAACAGGTTTTTAGAAAAACTTTCACATTTCATTAAAAAAAAAACGAAATATGACATTCACATAAGTATTCAGACCCTTTACTTTCCGAATGCACCGTCTATACACATTGCTTTTCATGGCTGTGGAACAAATTCACAGCCCTTTCCACATGCAGAATAAACATGGGCCAGGAACATCTGTGTTGCACTACTTGGCTGGAGTTTAAGCTTACCTTTCTCTTCTTGTCACCTCCCAGCTCAAAGTGTTTGCATCTCTTGATGGGCACCATTCTCTTGGCCCTGCAGTTGGGCTCCACACACTCCAGCCTCAACACGATCTTCTTTGTGGTCTTGGCCTGAGGAGAGAATCCATGTTACCACAGTCCAGGATCCATGCACACATGACAAGGCAGCGGCATTCTATTTTTAACTTAACACTCATTTTTCTTAAAACTGCATTGTTGGTTAAGGGCTTGTAAGTAAGCATTTCCCTGTACGGTCTACACCTGTTGTATTCGGCGCATGTGACAAGTACATTTTTATTTGATTCTGATGATCTACCCTTCTCCTGAAGTGCGTTCTCGTTCACTCCCCATCATGCATTAACCATTGGATTGGTGCAAACACGGCTAGAATAAGTTTCCATGCATTTCTTTCAAATCCATGAGGGGGCGTGTTCAAGTGCTCAATTTGGGAGAAGGGTGGATAATCAGAGCGTTGCCTTGCATTTCTCAACTTCAGAGCTCAAAGTAGTACCCTCAACACCTTTTCATTTTCTGGAGTGTAAAAACATTGTCAATACTGTATTATATGTAGGTGCAGAAGTAAACGGGAAATAAAGTGTTCATTAAATCAAGTTGTCTGAGGTTTACCTATAACCTTGCCATGGAGGAGACACAGCAGGGCCTCAAACCATCTCAGTTCTCTCTAGCAGACACCTTAGGAAAGGACAAAGCCACTACAGGCCAAGCCTCGCTGACAACGGCCTGCACCAACAGTACACATTTGTAAGATATTTCAGTGGTTCAACTCCTTTCCTTGAGTAACCAACAGTGCAGGTACAGTGGCTTGCGAAAGTATTCACCCCCCTTGGCATTCTTCCTATATTTGTTGCCTTACAACCTGGAACTAAAATGGATTTTGGGGGGGGTTTGTATCATTTAATTGACACAACATGCCTACCACTTTGAAGGCGTAAAATATATTTTTTTTGTGAAACAAACAAGACATAAGACAAAAAAAAAACTGAACCCCCCCCCCCAAAAAAAAGTCAATACTTTGTAGAGCCACCTTTTGCAGCAATTACAGCTGCAAGTCTCTTGGGGTATGTCTCTATAAGCTTGGCACATCTAGCCACTAGGATTTCTGCCCATTCTTCAAGGCAAAACTGCCCCAGCTCCTTCAAGTTGGATGGGTTCCCCTGGTGTACAGCAATCTTTAAGTCATACCACAGATTCTCAATTGGATTGAGGTCTGGGCTTTGACTAGGCCATTCCAAGACATTTAAATGTTTCCCCTTAAACCACTCAAGTGTTGCTTTAGCAGTACGCTTAGGGTCATTGTTCTGCTGGAAGGTGAACCTCCGTCCCAGTCTCAAATCCCTGGAAGACAAACGGGTTTCCCTTAAGAATTTCCCTGTATTTAGCAACATCCATCATTCCTTCAATTCTGACCAGTTTCCCAGACCCTGCCGATTAAAAATATCCCCACAGTATGATGCTGCCATGGTGTTCTCGGGGTGATGAGAGGTGTTGGGTTTGCGCCAGTCATTGCGTTTTCCTTGATGGCCATAAAGCTCGATTTTTGTCTCATCTGACCAGAGTACCTTCTTCCATATGTTTGGGGAGTCTCCCACATGCCTTTTGGCGAACACCAAACGTGTTTGCTTATTTTTTTCTTTAAGCAATGGCTTTTTTCTGCCCACCTTTCTATAAAGCCCAGCTCTGTGGAGTGTACGGCTTAAAGTGGTCCTGTGGACAGATACTCCAATCTCCGCTGTGGAGCTTTGCAGCTCCTTCAGGGATATCTTTGGTCTCTTTGTTGCCGCTCTGATTAATGCCCTCCTTGCCTGGTCCGTGAGTTTTGGTGGGGGGCGGCCCTCTCTTGGCAGGTTTGTTGTGGTGCCATATTCTTTCCATTTTTTTAATAATAGATTTAAATGGTGCTCCTTGGGATGTTCAAAGTTTCTGATAAAATTTTTTAACCCAACCCTGATCTGTACTTCTTCACAACTTTGTCCCTGACCTGTTTGGAGAGCTCCAAACTACATATACACGCACCACTTTTTTTACTTTTTAGAATTTTTGAAACAAGTTATTTTTTTCATTTCACTTCACCAATTTGGACTATTTTGTGTATGTCCATTAAATGAAATCCAAATAAAAATCTATTTAAATTACAGGTTGTAATGCAACAAAATAGGAAAAAATGTCAAGGGGGATGAATACTTTTGCAAGGCACTGTATGTTGCCCCAGACCCACAGGACAACATAACTGTACTGTTGGGGTTCTTCAAGGTTAGGAAAGTTGAACCACTGATATAAGGTACCTTTAGGTAACGTACCCAGTACACACAAAGCTTTGCAAGCTTACCTTTTTGCGGAAAATAGGCTTGGTCTGTCCACCGTAACCGGACTGCTTTCTGTCATATCTCCTCTTACCTAAAACACAGATCGTACATCAATTATTTATCTTGAAACACCTGGCAGTCTATACTACATCATATGGTCATCACATCTGCCAATGCTCATTTTGAGACTGAAACTCACCCTGTGCGTAGAGGGAATCCTTTCCCTTCTTGTACTGGGTAACTTTGTGAAGCTGGTGCCTCTTGCACTTCTTGCAGTAGGTCCTGCGTGTCTTCGGCACGTTCACCTGAATCACACAGATTTATAATGTATACTGACAAAGTGCTGCAGTATGGTACATTTCAAGTACCTCTTCATTCAAATTGTGTCACTCAATGAGGCACTGGGCTTCACAGCAAATATCCAGCATGGGGGTCAGGTCACTACCATTCAACCTAGGGGGCTACTAGCCGAGGAACGCTCAACTCCGTTCTCATATCAAGGCAGAGTGGAGTTTGGATAACTGGTTGTGAGATTTTCTATCAACAACATTGAGTCACCAGCAGTCCGTACATGTAAAAATGTCACAAATTCTGAAAACAATTACCAGTAGTTATGTTTATACTATACAACTGCGATCCTTCCGTGGGGTGCAGAAATCTCAAATACAATAACTTTTTCCTCAATTATTTTACATTATTATTGTTGGACTTAAAACGCTAAACACACCAGCAAATCTGCTCCAAGTGATTTTAATTTTGGAAACCTCTTCAAAAGTATTCAGGTAGGTGGCTAACTTACCGGCCGGCCAAGAGCCTTTTCACCATCTATGTAGCATTTTTGTTCCAACGACTACATGTACACACGTTTAGTGTTGTTGACTCAAAAAGTTGTATAATCAACTCTACCAACAATCCCTTTGGTGTGAGCAGCTAGCTCTATTGTTACACAACAGGATCGCCTTGATAGCACGCATCATAGGCCAGCACTACTTGGTAGCCAGCTTATAATACATTTACTATGTTACAATTTTGAAAGGTATTTGGCAATGATGCATTTATAAAATGTGAACACCAACTTTATTATATTGCCAAGAACACAGTAAAACGGGCAATTTCAATACGAGACTGTCACTGCCATCATTAACTACCTAGGTAGTTAGCGATACAATCCCCGAAGCGTAGCCATTCGCTCGAGTTTTGTATATAGGCAACTTTTGGGGGAGATATACAGATAAAATCACTAATAATGGCCTATACATGTCCCTAACCATTGCATTCACACATTGGGTACTTTCAAATGTAACAATTGAATGTATAGTTTGAAGATTACAGTTGATCTTTTTTAAAAGTATATTAGTGGTGGAGTTCCATACCATGATGACGGCCCGATCCAGACGAAAAGAGGAAGAGTGACGCCGGAAGCACTTTTTCATTAAGAACATTGGCGGATGCAGAAGTATGGGTCCTAATTTTGAACACTGCCACCTTGTGTTTATGTGTAGAATAGAACCAAGTAGACTACAGCAGTAGTAGTAGTAGTCCTTCAGTACAAAGCAAAAAACAATATCGATATATTGGTAAAATGACAAGGCTACTGGTGTGTATGCTTAATCATATGAGGATCCATGAAGCCATCACATTTTTCAGAATTATAAATTATTACCCGATAAATTATAATTTATTAATCATCATTTAGATCAGCTTCCTTTGGGTACCATGTAGGTGATGTGATAAATGAGGGCTAAACATATATTTCATTGCAGATAACCACCATAAATACACTATTTTGTCCTATCTATTTATATCACACACAGACCTTGCTGACAAAATTGTAACAATAATGTATATACATACAGTGAGGGAAAAAAGTATTTGATCCCCTGCTGATTTTGTACGTTTGCCCACTGACAAATAAATTATCAGTCTATAATTTTAATGGTAGGTTTATTTGAACAGTGAGAGACAGAATAACAACAAAAAAATCCAGAAAAACGCATGTCAAAAATGTTAGAAATTTGATTTGCATTTTAATGAGGGAAATAAGTATTTGACCCCCTCTCAATTAGAAAGATTTCTGGCTCCCAGGTGTCTTTTATACAGGTAACGAGCTGAGATTAGGAGCACACTCTTAAAGGGAGTGCTCCTAATCTCAGCTTGTTACCTGTATAAAAGACACCTGTCCACAGAAGCAATCAATCAATCAGATTCCAAACTCTCCATCATGGCCAAGACCAAAGAGCTCTCCAAGGATGTCAGGAACAAGATTGTAGACCTACACAAGGCTGGAATGGGCTACAAGACCATCGCCAAGCAGCTTGGTGAGAAGGTGACAACAGTTGGTGCGATTATTGGCAAATGGAAGAAACACAAAATAACTGTCTATCTCCCTCGGCCTGGGGCTCCAAGCAAGATCTCACCTCGTGGAGTTGCAATGATCATGAGAACGGTGAGGAATCAGCCCAGAACTACACGGGAGGATCTTGTCAATGATCTCAAGGCAGCTAGGACCATAGTCACCAAGAAAACAATTGGTAACACACTACGCCGTGAAGGACTGAAATCCTGCAGCACCCGCAAGGTCCCCCTGCTCAAGAAAGCACATATACAGGGCCGTCTGAAGTTTGCCAATGAACATCTGAATGATTCAGAGGAGAACTGAGTGAAAGTGTTGTGGTCAGATGAGACCAAAATCGAGCTCTTTGGCATCAACTCAACTCGCCGTGTTTGGAGGAGGAGGAATGCTGCCTATGACCCCAAGAACACCATCCCCACCGTCAAACATGGAGGTGGAAACATTATGCTTTGGGGGTGTTTTTTTGCTAAGGGGACAGGACAACTTCACCGCATCAAAGGGACAATGGACGGGGCCATGTACCATCAAATCTTGGGTGAGAACCTCCTTCCCTCAGCCAGGGCATTGAAAATGGGTTGTGGATGGGTATTCCAGCATGACAATGACCCAAAACACACGGCCAAGGCAACAAAGGAGTGGCTCAAGAAGAAACACATTAAGGTCCTGGAGTGGCCTAGCCAGTCTCCAGACCTTAATCCCATAGAAAATCTGTGGAGGGAGCTGGGTTCGAGTTGCCAAACGTCAGCCTCGAAACCTTAATGACTTGGAGAAGATCTGCAAAGAGGAGTGGAACAAAATCCCTCCTGAGATGTGTGCAAACCTGGTGGCCAACTACAAGAAACGACTGACCTCTGTGATTGCCAACCAGGGTTTTGCCACCAAGTACTAAGTCATGTTTTGCAGAGGGGTCAAATACTTATTTCCCTCATTAAAATGCAAATCAATTTATAACATTTTTGGGCAAACATACAAAATCAGCAGGGGATCAAATACTTTTTTGCAGAGGGGTCAAATACTTATTTCCCTCACTGTACATTCCATATTCGTCACTAGGCCTATACTCAAGCTGCTTTCCTTCTAATCATTGGTCCATAAAGGCCTCAAGGCAGTCAAGTTTGAACACAGACTAATGCTACTGTATATAACTAATTCCTTAGCCTACGTTATGGATACTGGCGTGTTAATGGTTAGTTGGCCCTCTCTGACCTCACACACTGCTCCAGAGAGCTAGTATAAAAATGAGCAGGAAGCAAAAGGGGAACTGTGTGAAGTCAATTCCTCTGAAAGGGTGGTGTGTAGTCGCCTGCTGCTACACACTGGCAGTACATGGAATAAGAGCAGCCATAGCAGAGGTCTTTGTCCATGTCAATCCTCCACATCACAGTCTGCAGACAGTGGTCCGTCTATAGGCCTTGCTGAGTGTCAGAGTCAAGGTAAGTGCTGATGTATTTGCTAGCTAAATGGTAGAGATCCATCTATTGAGGAAAGACGAAAGCTCTATAGGTTACATGCAGGCTATGTATTACTGTATGCATTATATTGAAAAATAGGCTTCTATTGCGTATGCAGGTCCTCATTCCCTGAGAGAGAACCAGGTGATCAATGTAGAAGAGAGTTTGCTCTGAAAGACTTACCTGGGTAAATAAAGGTTTAAATAGATATATTAAAAGGATAGTCAGAAGGTTGACATTATCACTACATGATATCTAGGAATGCATTAGGAGTAATCAATTTGGTCTGTTTCTGTGAGGTTTCAACCAGATAGGGGACTATGTAAAGCATGAATGACAGTAAGCTCCACTACATTGGGAGGACATTGGGAGCTCCAACATTGAAACAAGCTTGACGTTTCTGGACTTTCGCTATAACATCCAAAGCAGCAACACTGTTAAATCAAATTGCTTGTTCATAAAAAATGTTCTCTTACTGATGGAAAATGTCAAAACAGACTACAGCCTATCATTCATGTATCATTCCTAAGCATCTCTAGTTAGATGTTCATTCATTGTCCAGGCTTATCTTGGACGTATTGTATGTTGAAGGGTGGAAGATGCCCACATGCATATCACAAAATATGTCTTCTTTACGATTGTTTTATTATTTTTTTACAGACATTGCCCCCAATGCAATATGTACAATACAGTGGCTTGCGAAAGTTTTCACCCCCCCTTGGCATTTTTCCTATTTTGTTGCCTTACAACCTGGAATTAAAATTCATTTTTGGGGGGTTTGTATCATTTGATTTACACAACATGCCTACCACTTTGAAGATGCAAAATATTTGTTATTGTGAAACAAACAAGAAATAAGACAAAAAAACAGAACTTGAGCGTGCCTAACTATTCACCCCCCCAAAGTCAATACTTTGTAGAGCCACCTTTTGAAGCAATTACAGCTGCAAGTCTCTTGGGGTATGTCTCTATAAACTTGGCACATCTAGCCACTGGGATTTTTGCCCATTCTTCAAGGCAAAACTGCTCCAGCTCCTTCAATGGGTTCCGCTGGTGTACAGCAATCTTTAAGTCATACCACATATTCTCTATTGGATTGAGGTCTGGGCTTTGACTAGGCCATTCCAATACATTTAAATGTTTCCCCTTAAACCACTCAAGTGATGCTTTAGCAGTATGCTTAGGGTCATTGTCCTGCTGGAAGGTGAACCTCCGTCCCAGTCTCAAATCTCTGGAAGTCTGAAACAGGTTTCCCTCATGAATTTCCCTGTATTTAGCACCATCCATCATTCCTTCAATTCTGACCAGTTTCCCAGTCCCTGCCGATTAAAAACATCCCCACAGCATGAAGCTGCCACCACCATGCTTCACTGTGGGGATGGCATTCTCGTTGTGATGAGAATTTGTAAGTTGCTCTGGATAAGAGCGTCTGCTAAATGACGTAAATGTAAATTTGCTGGGTTTGCGCCAGACATAGCGTTTTCCTTGATGGCCAAAAAGCTAAATTTTAGTCTCATCTGACCAGAGTACCTTCTTCCATATGTTTGGGGAGTCTCCCACATGCATTTTGGTGAACACCAAACGTGTTCGCTTATTTTTTCTTTAAGCAATGGCTTTTTTCTGGCCACTCTTCTATAAAGCCCAGCTCTGTGGAGTGTACGGCTTAAAGTGGTCCTGTGGACAGATACTCCAATCTCCGCTGTGGAGCTTTTCAGCTCCTTCAGGGTTATCTTTGGTCTCTTTGTTGCCTCTCTGATTAATGCCCTCATTGCCTGGGCCATGAGTTTTGGTGGGCGGCCCTCTCTTGGCAGGTTTGTTGTGGTGCCATATTCTTTCCATTTTTTTATAATGTATTTAATGGTGCTCCGTGGGATGTTCAAAGTTTCTGATATCTTTTTATAACCCAACCCTGATCTGTACTTCTCCACAACTTTGTCCCTGACCTGTTTGGAGAGTTCCTTGGTCTTCATGGTGCCGCCTGCTTGTTGGTGCCCCTTGCTTAGTGGTGTTGCAGACTCTGGGGCCTTTCAGAACAGGTGTATATATACTGAGATCATGTGACACTTAGATTGCACACAGGTGGACTTTATTTAACTAATTATGTGACTTCTGAAGGTAATTGGTTGCACCAGATCTTATTTAGGGGCTTCATAGCAAAGGGGCTGAATACATATGCACGCACCCCTTTTCCGTTATTTATTTTCTAGAATTTTTTGAAAGAAGTTATTTTAAAAATTTCACTTCACCAATTTGGACTTTTTGTGTATGTCCATTACATGAAATCCAAATAAAAATCAATTGAAATTACAGGTTGTAATGCAACAAAATAGGAAAAATGCCAAGGGGGATGAATACTTTTGTAAGGCACTGTATTTAGCCAATTAATTAGTTGCAATGCACATTGGATCACAGTGGAATGATTGGAAATAGAAAACAAACACTATCATGTTCATCCTTAAACTTCATTGTTACTTGTCCACTGTCCATGCTCTTGCGTCCATTTGACTATTACATTTCACAGTGGAGAGTTTTGCAGCTGGATATTAAACATTAATTACTTAATATTAATTTGATAACATACACAGTGTATAAAACATTAGGAACACCTGATCTTTCCATGACATAGACTGACCAGGTGAATCCAGGTGAACGCTATGATCCCTTATTGATGTCACTT